TCTGCCTTGCATAGATGAGGCCCTGGGTTCCATTTCTGGCACTGCCGAAGAGGAACAACATAAATCTATTGAACGTTAGGCAGACAAATAACATTTATGGAGCAACTCTAGGTAAATGAACTTTTTTTGACACCAAGACTTAGGTGAATGGGAATGTTGATTAACTCTGTTACAGAGTTGTGAAGATCAAGTGCATTCACAGAAATCCTTTGCACCTAGTCAAAGGTGATAAGGGAGTGAACTATCGTTATACTAAACACTGAGTTTTAAAATATCTTTAGGACCAGAAAGATAGTACACATGTCAAGGCATTTGCCTTGCATGTGACTGATGTGGTTTGAGTCTCTGGATCACCTGGGTCCCTAGGTCACTGCAGGGGGCTGACCCTGAGCACAGAGCTAGGATCTCCCTCAGCACTGTCCAGTGTGGCCCAACCTCACCCCTCCATTTCTGAAAAAGCAATGCTCGTCTAATTTACCTACAAATACCATGTTTTTGTCTATTTATTTATTTGTGCTACTGCAGACCGCATTCAGGGCCTTATACAGGCAAGGTCAGTGTTCTGCCACTGAGTCATATCGTAGCTCCCACAGGCTGAACTTTAGGGGTTTGTTTGCTTGAGAGCTATCTTCCATGGGGCTCAGGGACTCCTGACATTGCTCAGAGGCTGCTCCTGGTGGTGCCGAGGACCGTGTAGTGCTGGGGACAAACTTGGATTTCTCACATGCAAAACATCGGTGCCAGTCCTTTCAGCTACCTCCTCTGCCTGAGGTTACAATATGGATCACTGAACATCTAAGGATGTTCAATGGGAAGAGAAATGGAAAGAGAAATTCCGAATATCCCTTTGAGTGATGCATTTTCATCTTCAGGCTTAGGACTATGCTTTCTTCTCTTTTGTTTTTCTTAAATAAAAATGTTAGCAATACTAAAGGAACAGTTGATATTTGAGAGTTGAATGGCAATGCCATGTCAGAAAAGAAAGGAAAAGCGCTGATATTTAATTTGTAAGTAGGGACTTTTCACAAGGGACTTTCTCAGTGAATTCGCCTATGAGTAGTAAGAAGGGCGCTGTTCTCAGATAGGAAAATCCTGTAAAGAGACAATGTTATCAGAGGGTGAAAAAAGTAAAGGGACAATTTAGAAAATATAGGAAATGTTCTCCCCCCTCCCTCTGGAAATTTATGGATCACAGACAGGATTTAAAACATTTATTTTATTTTTTTAGTCTTTGGGTCACATCCAGCAATAGTCTGGGGTTATTCTTGGCTCTGCCCTCAGGAATCACTGCTGTGGTACTTGGGGGTGGGGGGGGGAGAGGGGGACTCCCTGGGATACCCAGGATCAAACCTGAGCAATGTTCTACTGGGTGTGCCATCTCTTGGCCTCTATAACAAAGAATTTCTAAGACAATACTTTTCATTAGTCCACATTGCACTTTAGGATGGACTTATATCAATACTTAATTACCCAATTCTTAAAATTAGTTAACATCTGCTTTCTCACGAAATGCCTCAAGGGCCTGGAGGAATAGTGCAGGGGTTTGGAGTGCCTGTCTTGAAAGTATGCATGGTCACAAGTTCAAACCTTGTAATGTTCACAACTTGTGAAGTTCAAACCTTGGTGTGATGCGAGCAATTCGGCCATGGGAGGCTGGCGGGACTGGGGTCTGTGGTCCCTGACACCTTCAAATATTTCTGGCTGCACCACAGACAGGTGTGTAGAAGCCTGGAGGAAAGAGGTGCCACCCCCACGACCCCCATGAGCACCAGGATCAGGAAGAATGACCTTGGGTGAGCAGGAAGGATGACCTTGGGTGAGAACAGACATGGGCATGACAACGGGCACCTGTGAGTAACATAATCATGACTTGGGTGACTCAAATAAGGAGGTGAGATCCTGCAAGCAGGAGCAAGCAATCATCGCAATGAAAGTTGTCAAGGGGCTGGAGAGATAGCCCAGCGGATAGGTGTTTGCCTTGCACACATCCGACCTGGATTCGATTCCCAGCATCCCATATGGTCCCCTGAGCACTGCCAGGAGTAACTCCTGAGTGCAGAGCCAGGAGTAACCCCTGTGCATTGCCAGGTGTGACCCAAAAAAGCAAAATAAATAAATAAATAAATAAAGTAGTCAAAACAGCTGTATCTCACATCCTGATAAGTGACTTCCACCTGGCTCCCTCTCCTCAAATGTACAAGCACCGAAGCCAGGAATGTGGACAACCCCTAGTCATCCTGTAATGCCCGGAGAGGTCATCCAAGAAGTCTCGCACACTTGTTTGCCGAATTGAAAAGCCTTTATTTGTCTGCAGGGGCTGCGGAGCCGAAGAGCCAGGGTCTGGAACTGAACTCCAGGCAAAGTTTGAAACATTTCTTATCACATTCTGCTTGGCTACATCAACGGGTGATTTCATTAGCTAAAGCCAGCAAGGACAATTACAGTGTAGAAGCCAGATACTTGAGGTTAGCCTTGGACAGTTAAAGAATTTTCCACTTGGCAGTCGAAAAGAGCAATGTGTGATAGCGCCCAAGGCTGGACGTGTGTTTTCTCTGGCCATCCTGTCCCCACATCCTTGGAGCATCTTGTCCTGTTTCTTTCAGCAGCTCCCCTCTCCACAATTTTCTGGTAACTGTGGGTCACCTCATCTAATCACAACTATGATGTCCACACCAGCAATGAAGGGAAGGTGGCATTTACCATGAAAATGTGGGCTGGAGCAATAGCACAGCAGGTAAGGCGTTTGCCTTGCACGTGGTCGACCAGGGTTCAATTCCCAGCATCCCATATGGTCCCCTGAGCACCGCCAGGGGTTAATTCCTGAGCACAGAGCCAGGAGTAACCCCTGTGCATCGCTGGGTGTGACCCCCCAAAAAGTGTGGTTCTCATTTTAAAAATTGCAAAAAGTGGACTGGAAAGATAGTACAAAGGGCAGGGTGGCTTGTGGGTTTGGTCCCCACCACTTCTTATGACCCCTGAGCCTCTCCAGTGCAGAGCCGGGGTAAACCCTCAGCACTGATGCTGGGTGTGACACCCTCCCCATCACCCTCCCCCCAAACGAACAAGCCTCTGTGACTAGTATGCTTTTGGGGGAGTGGTGGGGTGAAGGGCAATAAAAACGTGTTCAATAGTTCTGCACCAGAACTCTTAACTTTTTCTCATTAATTTATCATTATTTTACAATGTCATGGTGTTTACCTTCACACCTCTCTGTAATCGTTACCATTTCCACCCCCAAGTCCCAGTGCTACCCCTCCGTCTTTCTCTCGTTTCCTGTCTCTTCCTCCAGTGACCACCTTAGTTTTCACTGGTTCTAGGACTTAGTTTTGTTTCCAGTCAGTTTCTCCGCTATCATTTCTTAACACGTTATGCTACATGAGCGCCTGTAAAAGCTAGTCTGCGCTGCAGGGTAAAGGTCCTTCGTAGAGAGAAACCTGCTTTACTCACCTTGGTATGTTTGTCTGACCCTGCTTCAGAGCAAGTTTTCATTTACATAGCAGTTCTTATCTGCAAACTGACTATTCCTGCTGGTTCCCAGTGGTAGTCAAGTTTGCAATCTTTTTTTAATTATTATTTTTTTTTTATGTAGGACTACTGCTATTTATTCAACCACTGCTTAAGCTGATTGAATTGTGCACGAACTCCACAAGTTTGTAATCTTTTTTTTTTTTTGCTTTTTGGGTCACACCTGGCGATGCACAGGGGTTACTCCTGGCTCTGCACTCAGGAGTTACTCCTGGCGGTGCTCAGGGGACAGTATGGGGTCGGTCGCGTGCAAGGCAAATGCCCTACCCGCTGTGCTATCTCTCCAGCGCCACAAGTTTGCAATCTTAAGCCAGTAAATTGAGATCGAAAAACTGAGAGCGGTAGTTGTAGGGTCGTGCATCCTGCCGATTCCTTAAATGCCCACCCCGCCAGACTTCCCCGAACCCTTTGAGCCCAAGAAGGATCGCTGAGAAGGAACTGCTCATCCGGACACCCCAGCTTGCAGGGGTGGGTCCAGAGGACGAGCCCTGGCATTTCCCTTTTCCTTTGCGACCTCAGCCAGTGCTCAGGGCACGTTTCTCTGTGGTGTGCAGACACTTCAGTCTGTTGACATGGAACTCAAGTTCACCACCGAACGGTCTGGGCGGAGCATCGCACGTCCGGGTCTCACGCGCCCTCCCCGAGAGGAAAGAAGAAGGAAGGAAGGAAGAAGAAGCCCCAGCATCCTCCCACCGGCCCCGCTGGGGACGCGAGAGCCGGCGGCGCTAGGACCCCACGTGACCCCGGGGGCCCGGGCCGCGCCGACCCCGCCCCTCGGGCCGCCGCGGGCGCGCATGCGCAGCCCGCGCCCGTGATGGAGGAGGGAAGATGGCGGAAGCGGCGTGAGTGACGGGCGGGCGCGGGGCGCCGCGGCCGGGGGGCGAGGGGCGCCGCGACTCGCGCCCCGCCGGGCAGCTCCCGGGGGACCCCGGGGCGGGCGGCGCCGGGCGGGGGCGGCCTCGCGGCTCCTGGGCCGCGTGGGGGGGCCGCGGCGCGGGCGGCGGGGCGGGGGCGGGGGCCGCGCGTGGACGCCGCCGCCGCCGCCACTTCCCGGCGGGCGCCGCGCCGGGGGTCAGCTCAGGGGGGTGGCGGTGGGGGTGTCGGGGGGTCGTCGCGGGGTTGTCGCGGGGCCGGGCCGCCGGCGCTGTCACCCCGCCGGGGGGCGCCGCGGGCCTGTCTGTGGCGGGGGGCTGGGGCCGGCCCCGGGCCTGCTTCGCGCCCCTCGCCCGCCCCGCGGCCTCCCCCGGGCGCGGGACTGTCCCCTCCCCCCCCCCGCCCTCCCCCGGCCCGGGGCGGCCCCGCGGGTGACCGACCGGAAAGCCCCCTCCCCACCCCCAGCCCAGCGAGGGGACGCCGACCCCCGCCGCGGGGCCCGTCCCCTGGGCGGGTGCTCGGGTGCCCGGTGGTCAGCGCGTCCCGGCTCGGAGTTGGCGAGGCAGGACCCCCGGCAGCGCCGGCTCCGTGACCGAAAAGAAAAAAAGAAAAAAAGAAAAAAAGAAAAAAAAAAGAATCGCTCTTTTGTGCCAGGTCTCGCAGCGTGACGCGACGGTGCGGCCGCCGCTGCTGCCACGCGTCCGTGTCGCCCGGCCTCGCTGGCCCGCGCTGGTCCCGGAGCCGCTTCCTGTAGGGTCCGCGCCCGAGGGACCCCGGCCGAGCCAGGCGACACCCTCACCGCCACCGAGTCCGGTCCCGGCGCTGCTCCCTCGCCAGTAAGTGGCTCCTGGTGGCCCCGCCCGGGTGGGGGCTGGCAGGCGGCGGGGAGGGGCCCCGGGGTCCCTGGCCCGGACCCCTCGCTGGGGACGGCGCTGCCCAGCCGCGCGGGGAGGTGATCGGATGATTGGAAGGCGGTTGATGGGAAATAATCAGATTCCGTAAAGATGCATAAGTCACTGATGAATCGGGAAAGTTGGTGAGGGGAGGGTCAGCTCGCTGTCTCCTTTTTTCTTTTTTAATTTTTTTCCTTTCACTTTTCCGCTTACGCAGATTGCTCTTCTTCTTTTTTTTTTCCCCTCCATTTGGTTCCTGGAAGAAGTATAAACACTGTTTCCATCAAGTGATACAAAAGAACAAAGAAAGTTTGTACATCCCGGGACACCATATGGGAATAGGGTGGGCAGAGGGGGATCAGCCCCAAATTCCTTTGTTTCTTGCGAGGAAGGAAGGAAAGTGGTCTTGTGCCGCAGCTAATGCGAGGTGGGTCAGGTTTTGTTTGCTAGGAAGAAAAGAAGGGCCAAAAAGCAGAAAAAAAAAAAAACCAACCCCGGGATAATTCTCAAGTGTGCCTTCTTCTCCCTTGTGCATTCCAGAACCTCATCACACGTGTACACACACACACACAGGAACTTGGTTCTAGTTTCCAACAACACGGAAGTCCTTCCAGTTGGCTTTAAAGCATCTTGTTGGGCTGGGATATGTCACAGGTGGTTGTTCCTGCCTTGCCTGGGCGAAATCCTGTCTCTAGCCCCCTGGAGCTGGGTAGCTCTGGAGAAAGTCTCCTCTCCAGGCCGGGGTTGGGCCCCCTCAAATCCTGTAGTAAAAAAAGAAAGTGTTGTTTGAATCTACTGGAATGCAGTTGTCTAGTGGAATTTCACACGGCTGCAGTGATTTCATACTGGAGGGGGGGAAAAAATCACAGTCTGGTGCCACGAGGAAAATGACACGATGACAGCAGTGTTCAGGATTGGAGCTGGCTGGGCCCCAGTGGTGGCGAGCATGCTTTGCATGTGCAGGCCAAGGGTTTTAGTTTAGCTTCGTTATTTTTGGTTTTGGGCCATACCCATTGGTACACAGGGACGCTTCCTGGTTCTGTGTTTTGGGGTGGGTAATTTTACTCCTGATAGTAATTTAGGGGACCCATGCTGGGTCGGTACTGAACTTTGGTCCTCTGCATATTGAGCTGTCTCTCTAGCCAGAAACCCTAGGTTTCATGGAGTTATTATGATGGAAAAAGAAAGATTTTGGGGGGCTGGAGTGATAGGGCATTTGCCTGGTACATAGCCGACCCAAGTTCAATCCCTGTTATTCCATATGGTCCCCCTAAGCACCACCAGGAGGAATTCCTGAGTACAGAGCCATGAGTAACCTCTGAACACACCACTCCCAATCCCCCCAAAAAAGATTTTTTAAGGAAGTGAAAATATTGTGGAAAAAAAACTGATATCTTCAAATATTGTGATGCTTGTTTTTTTTTTTTTTTTTTTTTTTTTTTTTTTTGCTTTTTGGGTCACACATGGTGATGCACAGGGGTTTCTCCTGGCGGTGCTCAGGGGACCATATGGGATGCTGGGAATCAAATCAGCCATGTGCAAGGCAAATGCCCTACCTGTTGTGCTATTGCTCCAGCCCCTTTTTCTTTTTTCTCAGAGTAATTTACTTGCGAGTATAATCATTATTAGATGAAGTTAAGGACATTGTTGAAGACTGGTGAAAAAGCCAGAGTGTGTTGATAAATTATTTTTTTCTTTTTTCTTTTCTTTTTGGGTCACACCCAGCAACGCATAGGAGTTACTCCTGGCTCTGCACTCAGGAATTACTCCTTGGCGGTGCCCGGGGGACCATATGGGATGCTGGGAATTGAACCTGGGTCGGCCATGTTCAAGGCAAACTCCCTACCGGTTGTGTTATCGCTTCAGCTCCGATAAATTATTTTTAAATATAAATGTTGTTTCTGAGCTTACTTGATTTTTGATCCATAGTTGGCAGTGCTTAGGAGATACTCTTCATATCAGGGATTGCTCAAAGTGCCTGCTCAAATCCTTTGAACTGTCTCCCAACCTTGAGTACTTAATTTCAAAACAAAATATATACAGTGACTAAAAAATAAGTTAATATAAGTCCTTAGGCATTGTATTTTGATGTATAAAGATTGGTTTTCTGGGCCCAGCACGCTTCCACTGCATAACTCTGCTACCCAAGATTCGCTTTATTTTGTATATTTTTTTTTTCAGTGAATCACCGTTGCAGGATTGACTTTAATTTGTAATTGCTATATTAGCAAAAGAAGTATTTTATTTTGTTTCAGTTTTGTTTTTTGTAGTAGTAGAGATTAAACCCAGGGCCTCACACATGAGCCACAACAGGTTCTGAGATACATCCTCAAATATTGTGATGTTTGTTGCTTTTTAACTTTTCCTTGCCAATTTAGAGTTCTCATTTCTCTTCCCCCCCTTCCCCCCCCATACCCAGTGGTGCCCAGGGGTGATTCCTGGCTCTGGACTCAGGAATCGTTCCTGGTGGGCTTGGGGTACCATATGGGATGCCAGGCTGGCTGCATGCAAAGCAAGCACCTTACCTGCAGGACTAGCTATCTGGCCCATTTATGGTGGCTTTAAAACCCTCATCTTTTTTTAATAATGAGAGGACAAACTTTAGGTCAGTTTTATGTGTGAGATTTATTAAATCATTTGAATAGAAATTTAGTAGGTATTGACTATTAAAAGTGATATGTATTTGTGAAATATTTTCCCCTCATGCTTCCAGTGAGTGTGTATTTCCTATGTATTGTGAGAACTTCCTTACAAATTTAGAAGACTGATGATTATTTTTTTGGAAAAATGTCACTGTTCTTTAAAGTCCAGAGGATAGAGCATTTGCCATTCAAATCCGTTGTGTTATCTGCCAGACTTAAGGACCACAGTACAGCTATGGATACTGAACCAAATCCTGGAACATCTTCTGTGTCGACAACAACCAGTAGTACCACCACCACCACCATTACCACTTCCTCCTCTCGAATGCAGCAGCCGCAGATCTCTGTCTACAGTGGCTCGGACCGACATGCTGTACAGGTATTGCAGTTACGGTGGTGGGTAGGCGAAGATTTAGGATGGTGTTAGTCCAGTAAATGTATCATTTACAGCAATAGTTCCATCTAATGGTTTACATCGTGAGTACAGTCAGAATGGCTGGTGTTTGAAAGAATCAACAAAGTTATTTGTTAATCTCTATATTGAGAAGACTAATTTTTATTAGCATAAAGCTTGTAAAATGATGTGTCAGGAAAATGACCAGTGAAAATACTTTTGAGGTTACTACAATGTCCCTTGTCGTACATCTAGAATAACTAGACTTTTCTGGATTATTTTACATTTGAACCCAGGTTAGAGACTCAGAGTTCTATTTGGATTTGTAGAATTTTTTTTTTTTTGCTTTTGGGGTCACAGCCGGCTACCCCTGTTGCACAGGGGTTACTCCTGGCTCATGCACTCAGTAATTACTCCTGGCGGTGCTCGGGGGACCATATGGGATGCTGGGAATTGAACCGGGTGGGCCGCGTGCAAGGCAAATGCCCTACCCGCTGTATATTGCTCCAGCCCTGGATTTGTAGAATTTTAAGAGATTAATTTAAATCCAGATGGGTGTTCAGACTCTAAAGCAGGTGGATCCATTGTCAAACTTTGAATGAAGGGGGTAATTGACTAAAAAAGGCTTGCGATGGGGTGGGGGTGTCAAAACTGGTAGTGCTTGGGGGCTACTTCTAGCTTGGATGTTTGGGGACCGTGGGATTCTGGGATTGAACCTGGGCCTCCTGCCTCCACAGCATGTCCTGTCGTTCTTTGAGTGTTCCCCCCCATGCAGCTCTTCCCTTAACTGAGAAAATAAAGTACCTCTGTAATAATAGAAATTGATGCAGTATTGCACCGCAAAAAGGGGCATGGCATTGCAACCTGATACACGCTTTGAATTTCATTTTATTTATTTTATCATTATTGGCAACGTAGCCTTGGTTGAAAGGCATAACATCCTTGAAGGATAGGAAACTTAAAGAGGAGGAACTACTTCATTAGTTATTGCTTCATTAGTTCATTAGCTTAAAGAGAATGAATAACTTCATTAGTTATTATGAAAATTAAAGGAAGCAACAGAATATATTTTATACACTCAGTAAATGGTAATAGTGAATATTTATTGAACAATTACTGTGTTGTGCCAAGCACTGGATAAATGCTTTTTGCGGATTAATTTCTCAATTTTTACCACACCTCTATGTAATAGGTACTATTTAGTATCTTCATTTTATATATGAGAAAAGTTGTGTTTAAATAAACTGAGTAACTTTCCTAGGCTCACATAACAGGTTATCTTACTTTAGAGTTGTACCCTTAATTACCCAGAGAGTCCTTATTTTTTTCTTATACTTTATCTCATTTGAATCCCTATAATTGCCTTTTAACCCAGAATATAACATACCTGTTCATAATATAGTGCTCTTTTTATTCCATTTTTTGGGGGCCGGAGGAGGGGCATAGTGGTGCTGCTCAGGGCTTACTCCTGTCTCTGTGCTCAGGGACAAACCTGGCAGGGTTGGGAGACAGATGGGATGCTGAGGATCGAACCCAGGTTGGCCTTGTGCAAGGCAGACGCCTCCATTTTTTTTTTAGATTGAGTATCTCAGTATAATGGCTGTTTGCGTGTTTTATAGTTCAGGATATATTCCGAATTTTGAATTTATTGGACTCAGAATAGTTGGAGCCTCAGTTTTGCAAAAAGAAAAAGAAATACCCCGAAACTGTTTTTTATTTTGAGGGCCACACCTGGTGGTACTCAGGGCTTATTCCTGGCTCTAGCTACGGGATCGCTCCTGGTGTGGCTCACAAGGTCATATGGGATGCCAGAGACCCAACCCGGGTTAACTCTGTGCTTTGACAATGCTGTCCTCTCACATTAGCCCCTCTGTGAAAAAATTTAAGCTGCAGATCGGGGGAGATATCTTAAAGGGCCGGAGCACATAGATTGCATGCAAGAGGTCCAGGTTCTATCCCTGGCACTGTGTCGACTCCAGAGAACACATCCTGGGGCTGGAACAGTAGCACAGTGGGTAGAGCGTTTGCCTTGCACGTGGCCGACCTGGGTTCGATTCCCAGCATCCCATAGGTCCCCCGAGCACCACCAGGAGTAATTCCTGAGTGCATGAACTAGGAGTCACCCCTGTGCATCACCGGGTGTGACCCCCCCAAACAAAACAAAACAAAATAGATAACACATCCTGGAGTGACCCCTGAACACCAAGTTGGGAGTAGGTGGGTCTGACACCCTTGAAAAATTTTAAAAAAGAAATTTAAACTGTGTTTTTCTTTTTCTTTCATTTTGACTATTGAGCTACACTTGCCAGTACTCAGCTGTTTGTGGGTCTGTGCTTAGTAATCACTCTTGGCTGGACTCAGGGCACATACGTGGTGGGAATTGAACACAGTTTGTCTGTGTGCAAGGCAAGTGCCTTACCTGCTGTATTATCTCTCCAGCCCCACAGAGTGTTTTTAATATTCTGCAGCTTTCTCTGAAGCAAGTGATGTAGGGAAGAATAAACATGCACATTTTTGCCCATACAGATGATATGAAAATTTATTGTATTTTCAATTTTTCAATTTTTTTGTTTTTTGGCCTTACTTGGCATTGCTCAGGAATTACTCTTGGTGGTTCTCAGGGGACCATGTGGGATGCCAGGGATTGAACCCAGGTCAGCTACTCTGTGCTATCATTCTGGCCCCTGAAATTTTATTTATTTTTAAAATTTTGTTGAATCACCATGAGATACAGTTACAAAGCTTTCATGTTTGGGTTTGAGCCATGCAATGATTGAACACCCATCACTCCACCAGTGCACATTTTCCCTTTATCCCAGTCCTCACCCTGCCTCTGGCGGACGATTTCCCCAATACTCTCTCTGCTTTTTGGGCATTATGTTTTGCCCAAATTTTCCCACCAGCATTTAAACTTGCCTGCCAGGGGCAGATGCTAGATGATTTGTTTTCCATTGCTCATTTTGAATATCATGAGAGTTCGCACCACTGCGAGGCGGCCCCATGCTTCTGGGATCCTACATTGTAAATAGTTGGGTTCCAGAGACACCTCTGTAGGGCAATAATCCTTTTGGGGATTCATTTGGGAGTCTCTGGACCAGAACTGTTGGTGCGCTAAGGTGGCGCGTGGAGGAAGCTTGTGGGTGTGACGGCCAGGTCGGAGCAGGCAGAGAGCCGGGGAGGGACAGCCTGGCGCCTCTGCTGCTGTGTGGCCTGGAGATTTAATCCTGGAACCCGCATACCAGGGCTTTGCTAGTGGAAGCTCTTGGTCGCTGGGATTCCGTCAGGAGCAGGCAGGGAGACGGCACCTGCTCCACCTGGGGCTCCCTGGTGAGATTGGCTCCGTATGGGGCTTGGAGGGATTTCCGGTGCTGTGGCGCCTCCGGGACGCTGCTGTGTCTCTGGGCCAGGGCTGTTGGTGCGCCAAGATCTGGCCCCGGAAATTTTAATATGTCGTTTTGTTCTCAGGCATTTACCTAAACTGAATGTGTTTATGAAAAATCAAATGTTACTGGAGAGATATAGATGTATATTTCACTCAAAGCAGTAAATTTAGTTCTAAAGTTATTGTAAAATTGCTTTCTCTAAAATGCAATTAAATTGGGCTGGAGAGATAGCACAGCGGGTAGGGCATTTGCCTTGTACGCAGCCAACCCGGGTTCGATTCCCAGCATCCCATATGGTCCCCTGAGCACTGCCAGGAGTGACCCCTGTGCATTGCCGGGCGTGACCCCCCCCCCAAAATGCAATTAAATCAATATTGTTGAGCTAAGTAGTTGTTTAATACCTGCCAGTGTCTTTTATCAGTTCTGTGAACTTTTCCTTTTCTCATCCCTCAGAGCAGTATTCCTCAGCTACGCGCCCCCCACTCGTACTCCAAGGGTGCCACAGGTAAAAATCATGTAAATGAGGGAGAGTAGGCATGAAACTAGGGGACCAGCCGGTAGGACAGAGGGGTCTCAGGAAGGAAACAAGGTCAGAAGTAGGCCATAGTCAGAAAAAGCTTTTGAGGGGCTGGAGCAGTAGCACAGTGGGTAGGGCGTTTGCCTTGCATGCGGCCGACCCAGGTTCTATTCCCAGCATCCCATATGGTCCCCTGAGCACCGCCAGGAGTAATTCCTGAGTGCAGAGCCAGGAGGAACCCCTGAGCATCGCCAGGTGTGACCCAAAAAGCAAAAAAAAAAAGCTTTAGAAGCAGCGCTTCAGAGAAACAGAACAGTGTGATGTACCTTTCACTTATACTTAAAGGATCTTGAGAGTCTGCACCAAGTGAAATGAAAGCCTGTGCCCCTCCAGGTGAGAGTAGCTAAATAGCGATTTTTATGGAAGATGTCAGAAGATAAGGTGCTTGGCTTGTGTGCAGCAGACCCTGCTAATTCCCATCATTACTTATGATCCCCTAAGTACCATCAGAGGTCACTCCTGAGCACAGTCAAGAACAACCCTTGAGCACTTTTGGGTATGACCCAAGCACACCCCAAAAAGAATGGGGGAGAGGGATGTTTTTACCTTCTTATTTGTACTTTTATAAAATCCAAAAAATCCAGATCCCGGAACCTTATCATCTTAAGATGATCCCGGACATCTTATCCCGGACATCTTATCAAAACTTTTTTTTATGACATCTTATTGTCTCATTACTACTTTGGACAAACTTGCAGGCTATCGAATGTAGCCTGCCCACAGGGCAGAGTCTGGCAAACTCCCCGTGGCGTACCAAATATGCCAGATACCAGTAACAATGATGGGTCTCATTCTCCTAAATAGCCTTGAATATAATCTCAGGGCTAGGATGAAAGAGACGTTACTGGGGCCTGCTCGAGGCAATCAACGAATAACAGGATGATGAAATGAAAATGAAATGAAATTTGTACTTTTGTTAAACCATCTGAAAAATCTTAAAGACTGCCTATTAGGGGCCGGAGGGATAGTACAATGGGTAGGGCATTTGCCTTGCATGTGGATGACCCAGGTTCAATCCCCAGCATCCCATTTGGTCCCTCAGCACTGCCAGGAATGATACCTGAGTACAGAGCCAGGAGTAACCCCGGAGCATTGCTGGGTATGACCCAAAAAGCAAAAGAAAAATAAGACGGCCTATTAATCTCACAAAATTATAAAGCTATTTCTAATGTTTCATTTTAAGTGTTTTTGTCAGCGTCCTTATTTCAATTATTTTAACACAGAATTATTCTTCCAACTCACAAATAAATCTCAGAGGAGAGCAGCACACCACAGAGATGTCTCCCAACTCCATGCTAGGCTCATTTAACTGGGGCACCTCAGAGAGGAACAGGTGTGTCCCTCCACCTGCCCCAAAAGAACCCTGGCACCTGCAAACCTCCAGAACCCAGTTGTCACCATGCTCACAGCCGACCTTCACAGGCTTGCCCCAAACCCCCCACACATGAGATTGAATTTTCTGAAAAACCCAATTATGAGAAACTAGTGACTGAAATCTCCCGGCTTCCAGAGTCAGAAATGGCCCCTTCCCCATCTCCTCACTTCTGCTTTCCTGGCAGTCACGTCCAGGAGCTGCCTCTGGGAGCCCTGTAAGCACATTAGCAGCTATGATCCAGACTCACCAATGAGTCTCAGAAGAGAGCAACATGCCATACCCCAGAATCACCATCCAGTTAAAAAAAATCATAACTAAAAAAATAAAAATCATAACTCCAGTTCTAGCACCCTATGAATAAAACGTTAGAATCCCAGGTGCTCGCAGCTGGGGATTACAGACTAGCACTAAGTTATTCAGTTACAATATGTCGTTTTTGGGTAAGTGAATCTAAACAGGATTTTCTGACTCCATTAAAAAAAAATTCTAAAAACAAATAATTGTTTAACAAATAGTTTTGTCCATGTAGAATTTTTTTTCTGTTGTCAGCACGATCCTCACTTTCTCACCCCCTCTTCTCTTCCCCGTCCTTCCTCCCTTCCTCTTGGTTATTGGGACACACACAATAGCCACATACAATACAAGCACCTCGCCTTCTGTATTGTTTCTCCAGTCCATCTTTTAATGTTTTTCTGAATGTTCTTTCAAATATTTTAATATAAAAATGCTATTTTACTCTGGATACTATATAGTTACTATTTTTCTCACCTAATGATCTGTTGGGGATTTTGTTGTTGTTGTTGTTCTTAGTGTATTTGTGCTAGCTACAGATAGCTGTATTTAAATTGAAGTTGAGAATAATTAAATAAAAATAATTCTGGAACCAGAGAGATCAGTGGGTAAGGCTTTTGCCTTGCATATGGCTGGCCTAGGTTTGATCCCGGGCACTGCATATGGTCTTCCAAGCCTGCTATGTACGATCCCTCAGTGCAGAGCCAGGAGTAATAAGCCCATAGCACCACCAGGTATGGACCCAAAACAAGATAAAAAAGTAGTGACATTTTATTTTTGTTTTGTTTTTGTCTTTTTTTTTTTTTTTTGGTTACACCTAGTGATGCTCTGAGGTTCCTCCTGGCTCTGCACTCAGGAATCACTCCTGGCGGTATGATCCCATATGGGATGCCGGAGATCGAACCTGGGTCGGCCTTGTGCAAGCTAAATGCCCTCCTGGCTGCACTACTACTTCGGCCCTTAAGCAATGAAATTTTCGACCAGCTCTTTATAACAAAGCATGTTTTGTGGTTAATCGTAAGACCGTCGGTACGACTTGACATTGGTCCGATTGGCTTGCCGCAGGTAATCCAACAGGCCTTGCATCGCCCCCCCAGCTCAGCTGCTCAGTACCTCCAGCAGATGTACGCGGCCCAGCAGCAGCACCTGATGCTGCACACGGCGGCCCTCCAGCAGCAGCACCTGAGCAGCTCGCAGCTTCAGAGCCTGGCCGCCGTTCAGGTGAGACCGCAGTCAAGGGGGATTTTTGTCTTCAGGTACTCAGATAATCACGAAAATAATTTCTGAGTTATCATATGTGCTATGATGACCTTCACGAAATATAATGGACTTTCAAATAAAAGTAACTGAGTGTGTTTTATATTCTACTCTGTTGCTAGTTTGAAAAAATTTAACATTATTTTTTGGTACAAGAGATTAAACCCTAGCACTTCATACATATAAGGCAAACACTCCACCACTGAGCTGCATCCCCAGCTCTCTGTTGTGATTTTTATTCCACTGCTTAAAAAATATGTATCTATATACGTGTGTGTGTATATATATGTATATATATATACATATATATACATATATATACATATATACACACACACACATATAGCAGAAATGCTGTGCTGGTGACATGGTGTTATATATACAGTTCTAAGTACAACAGGGAATACTCAGGTTTACATGAGTTGTATTTCACAAGGAAAGTTTTCTGTAGTGTAATTTGCACTCCTTAAAACATCACCAGACACTGTGGAGCTGCTTATAAGAAGAGGAGCAGAAGTGCTTCTTCTTCTTCCCCGCCACTGCTCCATTCTTTAGGGGCGGCCATTGGCACAGCTGATTGTGTGCCCTTTAAGAACTGCCCTGGATGAAAATGAGTGTAGTTACCTTTCTAAAATTAGAATATTATTCTGACTAATAATAGGACAATTTTAAAATTGAATGCTTATTATTTTTTAATAAAAAATTTAAAAAAAGTCTTTTGGACCATACTTGGTGGTGCATGGGGGACTGTGTAGTACTTGGGGCTCCAACCTGGGCCTTCTGCATACAGAGCATGTGCCTAGACCTTCGAGTTTCCACAGCCCCAAATGTTTATTTTTAATTTTTTTTTTTTTAACTTTTTGGGTCACACCTGGCGATGCAAAGGGGTTACTCCTGGTTCTGCACTCAGGAATGACTCCTGGCGGTGCTCAGGGGACCCTATGGGATGCTGCGAATCGAACCCGGGTCGGCCACGTGCAAGGCAAATGCCCTACCCACTGTGCTATCGCTCCAGTCCCAAATTTTTTAATTTTTAATTTTTTTTTTCTTTTTGGGTCACACCTGGTGATGCGTAGTGGTTACTCCTGGCTCTGCACTTAGGAATTACCCCTGGCGGTGCTCAGGGGACCACATGGGATGCTGCAAATCGAACCCGGGTCGGCCACATGCAAGGCAAACGTAATACCCGCTGTGCTATTGCTTCAGCCCCAAATGTTTATTTTTAAAACATTGAACAACATTTCTTAAAAAATTAGTAGTTGCATTACTATTTTCTACAGAAAGCTCTATGTAAGACCTGTGTTGACTGACCCAGAAGAAGACTTAATTCAATTATCAACACATTCCAACTTTTGCTTACTCTTAGTGTCGTGTAATTTTAATATTCTCTCTTGAGGTGCTGGGGATTGAACCGAGGGTCTCATATATTCAAGGCAGGTGCTCTACTGCTGAGCTAAGTCCCTAGCTCAGGTAGCGTTATTTTTAAGAAATGTCTTAATTCATGACCCAGATTAGAAACTAAAATACACAGTAGGCACTCAGTGTGGTTGCAGTTTCATTTTTCATAATTTTGGAGTGCTGATTCCAGAGACCTTAGTGAAATCAGTGAGGGCAACTATTATCCTTTGAGATTATCCTTTGTGTCCTCTGTTTTTACCCAGTTTGGCCAAAATTTAATATATATTGGCTCTTTCGAGGTTCATACATGAACTTTTTGACTTTCATTTTGATTTTGTCATTCTGATATCAGAAAGATCTTAACTTGAGGTTTTTGAATACATATCATAAAGATCTTATTATTTTAGGCAAGTTTGACCAGTGGAAGACCACCTACATCTCCTACAGGAAGTGTCACACAGCAGTCAAGCATGTCTCAGACATCTGTAAGTGCCCTCAATATATGTTTCATGATTTAAATTTTTTAAAAATTAATTATATTTTAGACTTTACTGTTTGGCAAAAATAAAGTAATACTCACAAAGCTATTTGTTGAATGTTATTTAAGTAATAGTACCTAGAATAAGATTTCCAAGTAGATTTAAGAATTCAGAACTAGTGTTAAGATTTTGCAAAAGTGAACCTTAAAATGATTTTTTGTTGCTTACATATATTTTCCCTTTGATTGTATTCAGGTCATATGTGCTTCAAAAGATTCCAGTTTTTACTGTGTATTGAAAACCTGAATTGTATAATCTAGCGGTACTAGACCACCCATGTACCGTAAAAATGTTCTGTTTTGTGCAGACATCTAAAAGTTTCTGGCTTTTGCTATGAATTTTTTATTTTAGAAATGGTATTTTTTTAACTTATACTTATTTGATTTATTCTTGCATTCTTTTCATTTTAATTTTATTTTGATAAAATAGTAAAGGACAAATGATTTTCTCTTTGTACATATATACAGGAATTGGTGCAAGGTTTCTCAGATTAAAGAAATGTGGAGTGAGGGAATACTTGTTCAGTTTTTTGGGATATAATTTCTTTCGGAAGAACTGGGGCTGGGGAACTGGAGCAGATAGGGCATTTGCCTTGCATGCGGCCAATCTGGCATTTCTTCCCCTGAGCACTGCCTGGAGTAATTCCTGAAGTGCAGAGCCAGGAGTGACCCCTGAGCACCTGAGCATTGTCAGGTCTGCCCCAAAAAGAAAAAAAAATAATTGGGAGTAGGGAGTTGGCTGGCGTACATGTTTTGCATGCGAAGAAGCGTGGGGTTGATTTCTTTCCCCTTAGCACCTCTAGAAACAACCTTTGAGCATCAAGCTGAAAGCAACCCCTGAACTGAAAAAGCAAACATGAAAAATTGATGTAGTAGCTCAGAAGTAGCTCAGTTGCCTTGCGTAAACGAGGCCCTGCGTTTAATCCCCAACTCCAACCCCCCCCCCCAAATCTGTTTAATTTAAATTCTGAATCATTTTGGCTCATTGTTTTATTGTTCATTTTTTTGGTTTGTTTTGATGTAGAGTACTGCTGTTGATTCAATCACTGAGCAAGCTGATTGAAGCAGGCATAGCATTCATTCTTTCTCTCTACATGTCTCTGTGTTACATTTTTGAATCATTTGTGGATAAGTTCACATGCTCTTTTACTTTTAAATGGATTTCTCATATTTCCTAGGAATACAGTTGTATTTTTTTGACACTTAATGAAACTAATCTAATTTGGGAAATTGTTTCCTGAGCATTCTGGGCAGTGCCTGAGGGACCGTGGAGTGCTGGGGATTGGACCCGGCTCCTAAATGGGAGGCATATGCTGCAGACCTTGGAGTTGCCTCCCTTGACAACTCAGGAAATTTAATATTGAGAAAATATAATTCTTACTCAAATTTCAGTGGTTGTCGCAAGTGGTCATACATCAGCTTGGGCTATTGATGTATACAGTGTATCAGCAGTTCTCTGTTGTGGGGGGAGGGAAACGTCCTGTTCATTATAAGATGTTCAGTGATGTCTTTAGGTTTTCCACACTGGATACTGGTAGGCTAATGACTCTCTTCCTTCTAAGTATGATGGCTACACATGTCCGAGGCACTACAAAATTTTCTTTGGGCCATATGTATGTGTTCTTGTTTTTTTGATTCGGGGGCCATCCCTGGAGGTGCTCAGGGATAGCTCCCGGCTCGATGCTCAGGCTCACTTCGGGCAGGCTTGGGGAATCGTATGGCGTTCAGGGGTTTGGCTGTGTGCAACGCACGCACCCGTCCTGCTGTGCCATCACTCCAGCCCCATCCTTGTGCCATTTTTACCCGAGTTGAGAAACTTTGAGTTAACCCAGTACATCCTTTTTAGTATTTTTTTCTAATATGGGATGGCAATACTTTGTAAAATTGACATCAGTAGAATAATTTTCTAGTTTGTTAAGGAATTGAAGATGGACTGAACTTGTGTTTTTGGCTCTTGATTTGGGTCTTAAGTTGAGCTTGGTTGCTGGAGAGAGAGCACAGTGGGCAGGTCATTGCCTTGTATCTTCCATGAGGCTGAAACCTGTGCACAGAGTGAGGAGTAAGCCCTGAGCACTATAGATTGTGACCTCCTCCCCCCAAATAAAAATTTAAAAAAATGGGAAAATAATTGATGTTTGGTGGGGATATAGCTTAGTGGTAACACACTTGTCATTTGTATGGGATTCTGGGTTCCATCCTGAGTCCTAAACAAAACTAGATCCTGCATAGGTAGTGTTTGCAGAAAAGAAGACTCCTAATAAATTCATGATTCTGCAACCAAAGTGGTTAGTTGTTCTTCAGGGCATCGTTAATGAGTAGAATTCTGGTCGTCTCCCATGCTCATGGGTTCATCTGCTCATCCTTCATTATTGAGTACCTTCTTGGTGCCGGGCCTGGGTTCTGGGGCCCAAGATTCAGAGTGAACATAGGTCTTGGAATAGAGTGTAGGGTATGAACTTCTTAATAGTTCAAGTACACTGTGTGAAAGAGGTTTTTATTTTACTGGAATACCTTCTAATTGCTTATAAAGAGAAGACAAACTGAGTCCATATTAAGCTTGAACATTTCCTCTCCATACCTTTTTTTTTGGCTTTTTTGGGTTACACCCAGTGATGTGTAGGGGTTATTCCTGGCTCTGTACTCAGGGATAACTCCTGGTGGTGTTCGGGGGACCATATGGGATGCTGGGGATGGTACCCGGGTCAGCTGCATGCAAGGCAAATGCCCTACCCGCTGTACTATTGCTCCAGCCCCAACCTGTCCATACCTTTTATTCTTATTGTTATATACATTCTTTTTATTAATTATTTTAGTTATACATTCTTATTGAAAATAATTTTAGTTCTTTTGGGGGGGGAGGTGGGGGTGGGTGATGGTTTAAGGCCACACACAGAGACTTTTCCTAGCTCTGTACTCAGTAGTGATCCCTGGTGGTGCTTGATCAGCCTGACTTGGTTGTGTGGAAAGCAAGTACTTTAAGCCAGCCCCTTCTTAGGAGATGTGAGAGCACAGATCATTATTTTCAAGATTTCAAAATTCTATAAATTTTCTTACAAAAATTTAAAAGAAGAGACTGATGTTAGTTTTAGTACTGTTTCTTAGGTAAATAAATTCTCTTCCTTGAGAATCTTTCAGGTTTGCATGAGTGTTCTTAGAGTTTCATAAAGATGTGTTTAGATGTCATTGTGTAGGATACATTTTCAATTTTTTTTTTTTTTGTGTGTGTGTGTGTGTGGTAGAGCTTGAACCTAGAATTACTGTGGGTTCCTCAGCTCCCCTGACACTGCTGCTTGAGAGGAGCACTGAAACAAAATATAATCAGAAACCTTATAGTTTTGTTGTTGCAGTGTTGGGGTTGCTCAGTTGGTTATGGTTTGCTCAAGGTGGCACCTGGCTTGTTCTTGAGGACTGTTCTCTCTTTAAAATTTTTTTTTAAGACACAATGATTTATGAAGTTGTTCATAATATAGTTTTAAATTTGGAACTGGGCTGAGACTTTAGAGTCTGGATGTAACTACTGGTGCTTGCGAAAGTACAGGAAGATGGCGGAGAGGTAGCCATTTCATCCTGACTCTGAGAAAACCTGGAGATTTCAGTCACTGGTACCTGTGCCATACCTGAGTTATTGGCAGTTAATTTCTCCGTGGGGCTTGGTCCCGAGACTGATGGGTTTGGTTAGAGGCATGGCAGTGACTTTGGGGTGTGGGAGTGAACAGATGCCTGGACTTTGTTTGGGAGGGCGCTGGCTGCCCCTCCCTGGGGTGCCCCGGGTATCTCAGCCAGGTCGTCTCAGCCAGGTGCTGTAGAAATTTTGCCTCTAGTTGATCTCTTTCAAGATTTATTTAGGAGTCTCTTGGGCAAGGCCAGTAGATGAACTTCCATGGACGTGGAGGTGGTTTGTGGGTGTGACTTGGGCACTCTTTGAGGTTGAGTGGCGCCAGTGAATAAACTCTTGACCTCATGCATGGAACTCAGCTGCCCTACCACTGACCCACATCCACGGACCTGGTATTTTTACTTCCTACCAGCATTTTCTTACTCTTTCTGGGCAGCACCTCATTTTCTGTGTTACAGATAATGTATCTCAGATCTCTGTTATGATACTTAGATATTTTTCAAAGTACTGTTCTTGGGAATGGGGAGAGAGGTTAGAAGGCTGGAGTGTATGTCTGGTATTGAGAGTTGAGTTTCTGTTTTGGCATCACTTCTGGGCCTAAACAGCACCAGGTATCTCTAGGAGTGGCCTCAGGACCACCTGAGCAGTGTTTGATAGACTCCTCTCCCTCCCCAAATAAAAAGAAAATATCCTTTTGTTTATGGAATCATTTATTTTCCTAAGGAACGGTTTTGGTCTTTTTTATGCTACTAATTTTTCTCTTACAAGATAGTTCTCTCTTGAAATACTTGGCTTTCTGATTGTATTTGAATGAATGATTGTGGCGCTTAATCAAGGTGGGTTTCTTCCTCTGCTGTGAATGTAGTTCTGCCCCCAGTAGACCTCTCTCCTCGTTGGTAAGGCTGATTGGAATTTCTGTATTTGCATATGGGAATAGCAGGTTGGTGGTGGTGTGGGTCGGGGTGAGGTGGGGTGACAGAAGGGAAGGACGTATCTTTAGCAGGTTCAGGATTGAAGGGGTCCAGGTTGGTGAGCAGCCGATTCACAACAAGGAGTATTTCAGTTTAGAGTACTAGTACCTGTTCTAGAGGCCTGCCTTCCCCCCAGCAGTTCTTTATTTAGAGAAGAGCCCTTCTTTCCAGGTCTTTTATTTTTTTAATAATTTATTTATTTATTGAATCACTGTGGGAAAAGTTACAAAGCTTTCAGGTTTAGGTCTCAGTCATGCAAATATCAAACACATTTCCCTTTACCAGTACTTATTTTTTACCACGAAGAACCCCAATAAAACCCCACCTCCCACCCCTCCCAATACCTGTGAGGCAGATGAA